ATTCTAGTAATCTTTAAACTTAGGAGTATGTAAGAGAATCGACGAGAAATGAAAAGATTTTTTAGGGGGATCGCACAGTGGGCAGAAAACAACTGTTTTTGTCAAAAAATCTGACCTAGTCGAAAGTACTGCCATAAAATTTTAAATATTTCTGTTAAAGTATTTGTTGTCCCTAGGCTAGATAAATACAAATCAGTAAATATCTTACAACAAATTTGCGACTAGGTCAGATTTAATTTATTTTTTATATACCACGTAATTTATTTTTTTTTAGGTTATGTTGCATTTAATAAAAAAACAGCAGTGATACATTGTAGGTGAAAATCTCCTTTTTAAATTAAAAAAAAATCAACTAAATCGGTTTCAAATTGTCGTGTTAGCCGATTTTTTGACAATAATAGTCGTTTTCTGCCCACTGTGGATCGTTAGAGTATTGTGAGCGGTTGTATAATTGGAAAATAATTTAGAAATAGAAAATATCGGTTAGAAATAAATTTTCAGTTATGAATCTTACGCACACAAAAATAAGGTTTTACAAAAACACCTTGTAGAAAAATATTAAGTGACTGTATATAAGATGTATAACTAACTAGAAAATTAAGTATTTGAAACTAATATCTCGAATGTTCATGTTTTTCTCGGTGGTTAGTGAAAAAGGATATTATTATTTTAACTGACATTCACATTGAAAAGGGAGGATGTGAAATTATTTTATTTATTAACCAAAACCATCGGTACATTCAAAAGATATTACACGTAACATTTACGTGAGTAACAAGTATGCATCTCGGTCAGCTGCAACTTGATCTCTACTTTCTTTAAAATTTTTAATAACATGAAAATGTAACAATTAACATACTTAAATCCAACTGTTATTTAAAAAAAAAGTCATTATAAAAGATTTATAAACAACTTAAATGACATCTGTTAGCATAATTACTTCCGCTGCGCGAGACTGCTCATACATAAGTTTGTGCAAGGGTACAAAGAATTACATGAACTACACTGTTAGTTTTATTAGAATACAAATTAACTTTATTCAAACTCAACCTTGCCGTCTTGATACAATAATCTTACCGTCGTATTTAACTATCGTGTGTAGAGGCTAGTAGCACGTATTCAACTGTCGTGTGTACTGATGTGCAGCATCGATTATGCACTTGAGTACTACATAAATCAACACAGATGGCGCTCCGTATAAACTTTACATCCAACAAAAAAAAATTATTTTTATTTCACTCACCTTGTGCAAAACTTTAAGTAAAAAGTTTTAAAACTCAAAAATCTAAAATGTTTCTAAATAACTTTTAAAAATTAAGTTCTACATCAAAAGTCTATCTTTGAAGCAAATAGCAGTTAAGCAATATATTTAACACATATACTTTTAACTGTAACTATGGTTAGGCAATTATGCATTATTTAATTAGCATCATTAATTGCTGTTGGTTCTTGCTGGACCAACATGTAAACATTACAAGCATGTAAAGTAAAAAAAATAGTAAAAAAAAAAAAATTTTAAAAACACTATCTACTGCAAAGGAATCTGTAGGAGTTATGGGTACGGATGCTTAAACTTCCAGTTAATTCTAATTTTTCAGCTACACTTCTTTTGCATTTTTCAAAATAATAATAAGTTATTATAAGTAAAATTTTGACCTAAATTGGATGATTGAATGAATTTGTTAAGTGTATATTAGATACGTAAGTTAGTTCTACATGTGTGTAGAAAAATAAGATAGAAAAGAACAAAGGAAAGTAGGCGAGTACTGTGGTACGAGGTCTGATACAATCTGGAGAGCGTAGCGCGCTGTTGTGACTCTGACGAGAGTGCTATAATACACATAATAGGCAGCTAGCTGCGAGATACTTACCTTTAAATTTGTAAGTTCTTAATATCAGTTATTCACGTAAATAATAAATAATTTTTTGTAAATCAACTAACAAGCGCATTTATAATTTTAAATTAAAATACGTGTAACAAGTGTTACTTTGGACCTGCCATTCATTCAGCATATGTTAACCTTTTGAGAAGAAAGTTAAATTTTTTGTTTTTGTTTGATGGAGCAAGGAGAGAAAAATCTTCATTGACACCCCGGCTATTCCGGTGGTATTGTTGGATTCACCCAATGTGTCTACAGATTAATAACTAACCTCCCCGGGACAGGTCCATTAGGACGAATCATTTTGATATATTGATATTTTTGTTGTTTATGTTAATATTAAAGTCGAAACTGTGGTTATATTCTCTCGCATGTAGAAAAAAGACAGAATTTTCAGATTCATTTTTATGTAGTCTCTCATGTTCTTTTAGTCTGGTCGTAAGTTTTCGTGAACTTTGGCCTATACACACTTTTTAACATTTTTGACATTTAATTGAGTGTACGACGTGTGTTTTCTGTCCTGTGTCTAAGGTATCTTTTCCCAATCTTATAGTTGAAGATAATTTGCTATTATTACCGTTTATTACACTAAAATTTTTTAATGGTAAGGTATAATTATAAGCGGTTTTTTAGTTTATAAATAAAAGTTTGTTGATACTTATTACTATAACAGTATTTTTGTAATTTAGTGTTTATTACTTTTGTAACAAAGTCTTCTGAGTAACAATTTTCAGACAACATCCGTCTTATGTACATAATGTTTTTAGTCCTGAATTTACTATCACAGAGTTTAAAAATTCTGTTAACCATAATTATAACTCTGCCTTTTTTCACTGACATGCAGTGGTGTGCGTGGTAGTTTAATACACGGTTAGTTCTGCTAAGTTTTTTGTACCAATCAAGGTTCAAAAGGTCAATAGCTATCTGATCAATGTCAAATAATAAAAAACTAGATCAATTACCCCACAAATATTTAAGAAGAATGTTAAATATCAATAAGAGGACTCTAAGAACAGTGAAAATGACACGAAGAATTAATAAACTCCAAGGGCTTACTGTTTAGTCTTTTATTCAGTTGACAACGTTTCGACTGCACTTAAGGCAGTCCTTTTCAAGTCTCCGAGTTAAAATAATTATAATGAAAATAAATATTACAACAGCTACCATAAACTACCAGTTTAAACAATTAAATAGAATAAATAAACTTACAAATTATGTAGAGCAACGTCCCCTTAATATTAAATAATATCTATATCTGCTCTAATATAACTGACTGGCTTTGAAGCTGTCTGAATATAATCTAATGTAGGACTAGGTACATGTAAGTAACGACAAACATGAATATCGAAAGATTTTATACATTTATAAAACGGCGCGAATTCAAACACACGATAAAACTCTATTTGTATTTTTAATTATTTTAAACAATGTTTGATATAATATTTAAGTACTGTACTTAAATTATTTGTGTCAGTAATCTTATTTACAGTATTTAACTTAGTGATATATACCATTTCTGATATTAAACGTCTGATATTAGAACTGTTGATACTCGAACAAAAGAACATGAACGCGATTGAATAAACGAGAAAGATTCGTCTGTAGTGTATACACATATGAGAGATTATGTCTGCCTTGAGTGCAGTCGAAACGTTGTCAACTGAATAAAAGACTGAACTGTAAGCTCTTGGAGTTTATTAATTCTTCGTAAGAACGTTAAATATTGAAATTGATGATTCATACTGATACATAAATTTTTTAGAGAGAGAAAAAAATCAACACATTTTTTCATTGCGGCCATTTTTGCCAAAACAAATCACTTTTAACCTCACTAACTTTTGACATAAAAAAAACAGCTTTTTCTTTCAAAAACAAAAAAAGAGGAAGTGGTGTTTTATTATGGATGTAAGCCCTAAATAATATTCAAGTTATAATAAAACGAGCAAGTGGAAGTTTGGAAGGGGTCACACTTTCCAAAGAATATAATAATGTGTATAAACCCAATATTATAGATAAGTTAATTGGAAAAGTACAGTAAGAAGTATGTTTTAGCTATTTATTATGTATATCCTTCATTTTCGAGATTAAAAAAATGGTGTTACAATAGCGTTTGTAACTAAGAAGAGTGTTTGAATTGTATTAAGCAAAAATAAAGGCAAAGTAAAGAAATACGATAACGTGTACTTAATGGAGGTATAATAATTGAAACACTCAAGCAAGAAATACCATTGTACTGAAAAATACAACCATTATAATCGTAAAAATTTAAATGAGGAATAAAAAAATTATTCCAAAGTAAGGTTTCAAACTCATAACCTTCTGTACACTAGTATCTAGGAGGCTGCGAATAAATTCTAATTCATTTTCTTTTCCTTTGTGGCGCGTGTTTCTAATACAGTAACACGTTCCTCACTTGTTTATGATCTACAGCCAGTTTTAATTATCAGTACAAATCTAGCATCCTATAATCTTTAGATTATTTAAAGTTATCAGCGATCACTTGGGGACGATGTAATAAACAATCTAATAATATCATAATTATTTATCTGCCGAAAATGAGACTACCTAAGTTGTATAACGTAGAAAATGTTTTAAAAAGTGTGGCACAATGACCTAGTCTATTCAAAGGCTCAGTAGATATTGTATTATTTGTGAAATTTTTAGAAAAAAATGTTTATGAGTAAACGGTGTCTAGAAAATTGTGTCTGTTGAGAAACAGTAGTCTAACTAAGATCATGATCATTTAGTAAATACCAATTTTAATGAAAAATTAGTTTACAAATTTACCTAGAAGATTTTGTTTTATCATAAATAAATTATGAATTACATTTTATAAATAATGTATTTATAAAAATGAAGCTATCACGAGGACTGTGAAAGGTGCTCAACAAGGACATCAAAAATTACTGGCAATCGAAATTTTGTTGACAGTGAATTGTATGCCTCATGCAGCATAAAAAAAATTTAGAGCTAAAAAAATTAGAGTCTGCAAAAAATTTCCAAGATAAATGTTATCATAACTGAGAATTACTTTTTTACATGAAAGTGAAATTACGTAAATCTAAGGCATTTTACAATGTTAAAATTTTTATTCTATTAGTTTAGGGAATTGTTTTTTACCTGTTACTTTGAAGTTCAGTCCAAAGGTTCATTCTGTCATCATTTTGATTTTCTTCTAGATTTTCAATTTCTCCAACCCCAAACATATCAAACTCTGAAAGATTAAGTTCTAAATCGAATGACAACAGCGTATCAGAATCAAGATTAATGATGCTATAATCCATTTTAAACAAGGACTCTAAATTCATTCCTCTAGTGCAATGATTCTCCGTATACAGCATCTAAATAGCAAAGATAAAGAAATATTATTTATTAAAAATAACTATAAGATTTTTCATTTTAATAGTTCATTAATTTTTGCTCAATTTATCATTTTTTATAATTACTAGACATACGAAGCATGTAGCCTTTTACACAGTAAATTAAGTGTCAGCAGAATAAACGTTAGTTGTTTAGTACAAAAATAATCTTTCATTTTCTACATGTACATAATGTATTCTCTAGATTAAATACTTCAATAAATAAATAGACGCTAACAAAATATGGTGTACATTCCCAATCGAAAAAATCATTGGAATCAATTATTATTAGTATTTTAATAATGTTTCTGGTGAAAGTATTCAATTACAATTCAATACAAAAAGAGCCTATTCACAAATTATAAATTAGAAAATAGTAAAATGTTTAAAACATTATTTTAAAATCATAAAATTTTGCTACGTCATTATTATTACTAATGCGCTTTTTCAAACACATTTGTAACTTAACTATTGCCTTACCTTAAACAAATAGCAAAAAATCTAAAGTGCACGGAGGACTACGTCAATGTAGATAGCGTTCTAGGATATACTTTTAAATAATGATGAAAGAAGATAGTAATAAATTACCTGACATTTACTTGGATTGGATAATGAAAATCTACCGGCTAGAAAGGTAAACGTTGGACCTATACTCACTTTGAGTTACTGTCAGTTATATAAACTTATTATCTTTTTAGACTCTTGGCATTGCTCACTTTTTTATTGTTTGATAATAACTTCTAACAATTTGATTTATTTATAGAAATCAATGAAAAAAAGGAATTTGTCCCTTAAAAAACTCTGCGTACAACAAAAAAAAATTATTTATATAATACTTTCACAATTGTCAAATAAAAATTAGACTTGCTTTTGGGACTTGAACAAAGACTTAATTCCAACCAAACAACTTATTAGAAAATATGCCGTCGACGTCGTCATCAAATAATTATAACAAAAATGAGGTGCCTAGACCTTCATAAATTTGGGATTGATTTGATAGTTCTACTTTTAGAACCACAAACAACTGAATCATTTTATTCTAAATCCGATAGCTCATTCTGCACAGCCAAACTTATTGCTATTTGTTGAAAGTATTAAAGCAGTACAGATTAGAGCGTATATAAAAATGACTATTCCAAGACTAAATTAAAAGACACTTATAACAAAGAAGCATTTTTACGAGAAGAAATGTTGAAGTATCAAAACCATTTAATTCTTGGTTTTAATACATTTATATTATATCCAAAAAAGATTTACCTGTGTCGAATTCAAAAGCATTAAGTTTTAAGTATCACAATGTATAAATTTTAAACATAAAGTTTCTTTAGAAAAGGTCTAAAAAATTTTTGTAAATACAGTGATTGCTACCGTTCAATATTAAAATGTCTTTATCTTCGTAAATTGTTTCTGTTGAACAATATCGCAATATTTTCAACAACGCTAGTATTTATACTCGCAGTCTAAAGCCCAGATGAAGTGTGAAGGAAAAATTGTTATGACTTATCAGCTTAATGATCAGGACGGAGCTTGACCATAAGATAAATCACCCTGGACACAATTCGACAATGTAAGTCAAGACGCAACTCAACCGAAGCCACGATAGTCTTGGGATTGCAATCCAGGACTTTCACGTCAAAAATATGGCTACTGTTAGACGAAATTTTCAGTGTATTTAGCGTTTATTTGGCTAGAAACACCTAACTTTTCTCTTGAACGATTAGTTTTAATGAGAGCTTGAACGGTCCACGGTGCACCGAAAGCACTCTTAAGGTTAGCTCTTAAGTTGAGTACATAATATTTGTCTAATACTGTGCAATAAATATATTTATTTGTTTTTATAAAAGTATATTTAACACAAAAATTTGTTTGTTCATTTTTCTATACCACCCGGGAGGCTAATAGATGGGCTTTCTACTTACTGACGATTTCTGACTTGTAAGATTTGGAAAGTGTATAACTAAAATTCAAATCAATGTTACAAACAATTAGAACAACTACTAGTAGATATTGGATCAATTATTATGTACTATTATGTATATTGTTATTATGTATGAAGAATATATATACACACGTAAAAACTGACTTCTGCAGATTCTACATGCTTTTCCAATGTATACTTGTAGAATTAAAAGCTTATGCAAACCGACAGCATAAGTCAGTAAAAGTCTACAGAAATAAGCTTTTCATTTGCAGAGTGTCAGTATAAGTCAGAATACTTATGTATATACAGACATTTATATGTGTACACTAGTGGGGCTTTGTTCTCTGTGCTCTGTGCGTGCAGACCCGCTACTCTAACATAAACGAAAAGTCATTCCGTTTAATATATAAAATAGAAACAAATGTAAAATTAGAATTTGAGATTTTTAAAATGATGACTTTAAATAAATGATATTGAGAAAATGAAACTAAGTTGTTTTCCAATTTCAAAAATTAATAGAAATGATAAAATTTATTACTTTCTTATACAATGGAATTTTATTGCTGTTTTTGTCAATAGAAGAATTGAATAAAAATTTCGTACTAAAATAATTAATTTATTTCCAAAATATATATTTCCTTATTACATACATCTCTTGAATTTGTATTAAACATTTCTTAGGCTTTTTTTAGATACATTAAAGCTCTATTATAAATAATCATATCATCTTTTCGTAAATGTTTGTTATCATTTAAATTTTAAAAACAAGATTTTTGAATTGTTTTGATCTAACAAAAGTCTAAAAGTTCTATAACTTGTCACACTTTTAAAGAGCAATACTGATGCTATGCCAGTCCAAGCCCTTGACAATTTTTTTTACTCTGAGACGTAAACTAACAATTTAGTGTATAATATAAATAAAGTTTTCACAAATCTCCTGAACTATCGATAAGAAAAATTTCATCATTTTTTTCGCAAATTGTACGAAACATTATCTTTGATCATTATCAAAATTTACATACAAAAAGTTAAATATTTCTATACTAAAAGATATTTTTTTATCGATAAGATTTAGTGCATCTTTAATTCGTTTTGGTACAGGTAAATAAAAATATTTACAAGATTTATCTTCTAATTCTAAAATTTAGTTAGTACATAAAAGAGCGCGGTTATCTTTATTATTAACGAAGTCTTCTGCAGTATTTTTTCTGTACTTCATATTTCATAACCTTGAACATTTTCTGAAATTACCAACCATGCAAAAAAATTGTCTTAATTTATTAGGAAACCTTGAAAAGTTGCTTTTTCGAAAACATTATCGTTTTGAAAATTACGATCGAATAAACCCAATACGATAACAGTATCTTAAAAGTCAAGTATTCAATTTTTTTATATGTTCCAATGTCTTCAAAGGATGTTGCACCAATTATACTGTTTAAAATAAGTTTTAAGAAAAGCCTTCATGATCCTTCAGAGGTATTTTTTTTAATCTACCGATTGTAATATTTTTCATACCATTTTTTCTTCTTCCCAAAACTTCAAGTTTTTCATTTAAAATGCAATATTCTGAGATGTTCATATACTTTATTAATTTTCCAAAGTAATCACGTTTGTTTAGTCACATCCAAGCTGTACGCTGCGTTTGATAGGTTTATAGTATTTTTTAAACTATTTTTATCAAACCAAAGTTTTTGTTCGTTTTAAACATGAAAAGCTAAATATACAACTGTATGGCTTCTGGCACAAATTCAAAATACTTGTAGTTCCCAAGCTGATTTTATAAGACCCACGTAGCTAGCATCAAGATAACTACTTATATAATTAAATGTTTCTGTTTTTTCAGGATTTGATTTTTAAATTTTAATGTATGCACTGTCACTACCTCTATGAATATTGTCATAAATATATTACATGCTTTGGATAGATAAGCAATTGGTAGTATTAATATACCGTTTATATTTCATCAATAAAAATGTATTAGAAGGTGCAAACGTCAAATTATCGACTGTAATTTTATCTTTTGTGTAAGTTTTATAAATATGTTTATCACATATGCTACTTGTTCTTTGATATCGCAGATAACTGTTTGTTTGAAATGTGTTTTAAAATGTAGTACGTTTGTAAAAGAATTTGGAAAATTTTGTGTATACTTTTGATTACAATAAATCGTACGAGGAGAGGGTTCTGTATGAGGACCGTGGAGCGTGTGTTTAATGACTAATTTTGTGAGTATCGTATTGTCAGAAAAAATTTTAGCAAAAGTAAGTGTATCGATTTGCTCAGGCATAATATTTTTTTCAACAGCAAGAAGAGTTCTTGAAACGAGTGCATAATGTAGATCACATTTCTGAAATTCAATTGTTTGGACTAGTACGCATAAAAGACGTCTGCAATCGTGACTAAACTAAAGTGATTTTTAATATATCATTAGGTGAAATTTTTTTTAATTTGGATAAAACTTACTTAAATTTTTTTTATTTTTCATAACATGTTACTATTCATGATCTTGATGTTCTTTCAGTAATAGTATAAGGAGCACTCTACGATAATTTTTTTCTCCAACATTTAATGATACACTTAGTATGCAGGATTCTTTCTCTCTCATTAACAATTTGATAAGTGGTGAACAGTTTTTTAGTAAACCTGCCACCTCAAACTTTATGTACATGATTTGTATTTTTCTACTTCTATAAGACTACTATAATTTCATTATACTTTACTTAAAATGCAGATAAATATAAGACTTCCTTTTGAACAGGTATACATGTAATAGCAGAATAAATATTTATTAAATAACTTAACCGGTTCTGTAAGTCGACTTATAAAAATGAGCCTCCTTAATAGGGTAATTTTTCTACGGATAGCATTATTGCATAATTAAGTGTTATTTAAATTTTTATATGTTTTAGTATCATATCACACAAAAACAAATAAAAATAAATTTTTCATACAGTTTATACCTTATATTACCAAAAGAAGCTATGCCTACAAAAAACTGTTGTTAATAATAATATTAGCAATTGCACTAAATTTCATCAAAATCGGTTTTAAACTT